TGATTTTGTTTTCTTTGATTATAAAGCATGTTATAATTATGGCCAGAACTCTACAAGTAGCCAAGGTAAGATGTATTTTTGCAAGGCTTAAGAAATGGAAATGTATCAATACAAGTTATTTAGCTTATACATTCTCTTGTCATCTCAGTTTAATCGTTTTCATTGATTTCTTATTTTAGGGTTTTTATTTTTAAATTGTATGTTCTCTATTCTTACAATTGCAAAAAGACTAAATTTTTAATTGTTTCGTTATTAAGACTTTCAATTCTTAGAAATTCTAAATCATTTGGATTTATAGAACATCCAAACACCGGTTTAATATATTTCTTTATCAAGATTTCGAATTCTTTTTGTGCAAACCAGGAAAAATATATAGAACTTCTGTTGTTTGTTTGTGTTTCTGTTTTGGTATTTTTTTTTTCTAACTTTTGCTTACTTTTTAAATTTCCAATTGACCAAATTCTGAGAAAACAAAAGTTTTGCATCATGAAATAAAAGAGATGATGTATAGTGGAGGTCTTGAACACATACAAATTTACTTCCCATTCATGGCGTTATGCAAGTTTTATGGGGGTTGAATAAGGTTGTCACTATGCCCACCAGGTGTTCGATTAAATGTCAATGTGAGTTTTTTTTTACTGTTTATACAATAATCTCAAAATTATATTCATACTATTTAGGTTTGGATTTTCTTGGTTTATTCAGCTGAAGAGATGAGATGTTTTAAATATTCACAACGACCAGTCCACAACCTTACAATGTTTCAAAGAATGGTCTAATTCCATTTACAACATGTTAATCAAGAAACTTTAATGACTTAATTCATATATCTTAACATTTTTCTCTAATTGACCATATGTATAAGCACATTTCCAAATTAAGTGTATTTTTAAATTATAAAATTCATAAATATTGAAGTTGGCAGATATGGAGGTCGTAATCAGGGAGAAACATATATGAGGCAATAGAGAAACAAAGATGAACATGGGGTGTATGACGTTTTTATTTTTTATGGCTATTAGTTTTTTTATTTCTTTTTTATGGCTTTTAGTTTTTTTTTAATCTAAAAAGTAAAATCAGTGAAAAATGAAGGATGAAAGTAGAACTTCACAGGTGTAATACACAAAAAAAAAAAATGCCCTAGAATAAACAAAATAACTTTCAAAAAAAAAAGAGCAAAAACGATAATAGCCATCACAATCAACATTGTATTTGAAAATAATACCATTATCACAACATAATAATAAATATATGAGTAATTTTTTTAAAGTACAATGTCCTAATAAGATTTTTTTTAAAGTATGATGTAATTAATGAGTAAAAATAATAGCAAATTGTCATGGCATGAATTCGACCAAAAAAGCTAAGATGGTCATTTTCACTAAAAAAACTTTCATTTTTTTTTTGCTTTTTTCTTATTATTATAATGTTTTTTTGTTAGGTTTTAAAATTTGTAGTATTATTATTGAAATATTCATATATTTATATTCAATGGTGCTATGTTTCTTATATGATGCTTTAATATATTGCAAATTTAACTTTAGGAAGGTTTTGACAGGGCAAGAAAGGTGTTTGGATTAAACTGTCAATTCATCTTTCTAAATATTATTAAAACTACAATAAATGTGGTCTTCTATTAACTGGTGAGATATTAAATTATTTCATTTAACCATTGCCCACAATTTTTTTTGATAGTTTTTTTGGTTTAAGTTGGCAATTTTATAAGGCATTCACGGGTGTGATTTTTAGAGTTTGGAGCTTTGATGGTGATTGTAGCTTTGAATCTCCATGGGGGTTTATTTCACAGTCAATCAAGAAACGAGGTAAGGATGTCCCTTTTAATTTTAGGTTGCTTATGATGAATATGTATTTCAAATCTGAAGTTGATTGGGTTTCAAATTGGTTTTTGTGGTTACTTAGTTGTTAACCTAAAGTTAACGATTAGATGAAACATATTTCCTTTGAAGGTTATAATTGCTTCAATATAAGGAAGATACAAAAACTATTCAAAATAGATGTTGTCTATAGTTAATTTTAGTAACTTAATTATTATTCTTTATATATGTAATTTTCACTAAAATGTTATAATAAGGATGTTGTTTCTTGAATTTTACACTTTTTATATGGACCTATTCGAGGTGAAGGTGGATATCATCCGGGAGATGACGGGCATGCATCCAAGTGGTTTACAAGGTGTGTGTAGTAGATCCAGAAACCTTGGTCACCTTTAGATAATCTGTTTTGGTAAATTATAGTTATTTATTTGAGATAATCTGTTTCTGATGTTTGGTTTTCAATTATCATATTTCTTTTTTCTCCTTTTTTTTCTTATATTTTTCAAAGAATTAATGTAAACCTCCTCCATATTAAGGTAAATTGAACACTTCTGGTAGAAAACTGTGTTTTAAGTGATTCTGTTGAGTTCCAAAGGCTTTTAATTATGTTTGTTTGACAAGATTTTATTTACCGTATTGATTATGAAATTCATATATATGTCTCAGTTATATCTCCATCATGAGATTTTAGGTATGCATTAGTTTTTATCTTTAATACTGATAAACAATCTTGTGAAATTTGAATCTAAAACTCTCGTTTTCCACACTCGAAGGGTTAATCTTGAAAATCTTCCGAGGGGTGCATTTACTAATCAATATAAAAGTATTTTTATATACTTATATATTATTAGCTTAATAAAATTTTATAAGTCTTTTACCCGTGGTTTCCACGGGTTATAACCTAGTTCATATATAAACACCGAAATCAATTATATTTACTTCATCGGATCAAATCAAATCAAATCAAATCGATCTATTCATATGAACACTTCTACACTTAGGCAGTTAGGGTCCCACAATGTCCCATCTTTCGGTTATGGCACTTATTGAAGGACATTATAGAAAAATGCTATCATGGGTCTATAAATATTAGACAAATGCAAAAAATAAAAGGTTTAAACATAGTATATATTTTAAATTGTATCTTTGTTAAATACCTATCCCCTCAACCGTATGAAACCTACCAAACACATTTGAATGGGAGAACAAAGATACCCCATCTCATCTTTAAAAGTTCTTTCTCTTTTCTCTTTATAGAAAAATTTAGTTTTTGTTTTAGATATTGGTTAAAAGAATAATTAAAAAGGTTATCACTTATAATAATAGCATGGAAAAAGGAAAAAGAGTTAGGAGGTTGACTTAAAGTAGTTCAGTTTTCACTTTTCTACCCACCTTCTTATGCGTCACAATCTACTTATGCCATGCCAATATGCTTTGTTCAATATAATATTCTCTTCTAACAAATATATATATATATATATATATATATATATATATATATATATATATATATATATATATATATATATATATATATATATATATATATATATATATATAGGGTTAGGTTATTTTGTTTCTTATATTTATTATGTGCTAAAATACACCAATAGGAATTTAATAAATTAAATAATTATTTAATTAAATAAATATAGATATTAAATGATTTCCATAATTATATGTATATTAAATGATATCCATAATTATAATTTTCTTTTTATGGAAACAAATTAAACCCGTCATTAATGTCAGCAATAACATTCTTTCAGAATAAATTTGTATCTAGTTTTTATATATGAGTTCGTATTTTGTTTCAGGACTCACCCACTTAAAATACAATAAAGTTGCATGGAATATGAAGAACGAGAGTGTATTCTACTAAAATACACTCTCATTCTGCTGAAATACACTCTCATTCTTCTAGATATGAATTCATCTAAAAGAATATTATTGTTGACATTAATGACGAATTTAATTGGTTTCCATAAAAATGAGTTATAAGTATGAATATCATTTAATATACATATAATTAATACTAAAATCCTATTGGTGCATTCTAGCACACAATAGATGTGAGAAACATTTGAACCTATATATATATATATATATATATATATATATATATATATATATATATATATATATATATATATATATATATTTGTGTGTATTTCATGAGGAACATTTTGCATAAACCCTAAATGCTAGGTTAATATTAGATCATGAATCAATGAACATTTGAACCTAACAGTTGTACTTTAAGAGTCAATATTAACAAGTTACGTGTATTTTCTTTGTTTATTATTATTATTTTTAAATTCCATTGCTCATATAATAATCTATAAACATTTGTTTGTTTCACTCCTAACAAATAATTTAATGACTCGATAATTATTGTTCAAAGATTAATGGATTTTCAAGATGCAACTTGCTTTATAATGATTAAAATCGTAACAATAATTTATAATGGGATTACATAGTACCAACCCCTTAAGCTCCAAAATTGTCATTTTCAATAGTTATTCTATTATTTCATTGTTTAAAGAAATGTCGTATTTTAAATTTTAAATAAGCATAATACTTAATCTATTTTTTATTTTTAATTTAAGTACGAAATTTGTTTTAAAGAAAGTATTGTTGTTACCTTTTATTAGTTCATGAAGGAAACATTTGTTAAGAACATACATATTAGCTGTGTGATAGTGTGGGATTTAGAAACTTTCATTTCAGGACAAGTATATGATAACCAGAGATTTTGTATGATTCCATTCATTTTATATGGAATCGTAACGAAATTTATTAAGGAAAAGCATCCAAAAAAAAAAAAAAAAACTCATAAAGATAAATACCTAAAACAGTCGATTGACAGCCTAATTAATCTCCTAACTACCGGAATGATTAAAACGATGGATGCAAAAACTTCAATTTGAGTCGAAAAAGAAACTATTAAAAGTATGTGGAGGTTTACTCGATGATTCCATGTGCGTTTCTTTGCGTAGGTGAGCGATATCAGCAATCTAAAGCCACCACTCTCCACAAAATATAAGCAATTAAGCAGATATTAATATAATGAGGGTTGATTAACAACTTATTACTCCATTAATTATGTTGCTTGAAGCCTTGAATTAATGTTACAGCAAAAGTTTGGTAAGGTTTCCGGCGGTTTTACCGGGAAATCGTAATCTGTGGACATCGATCGGCACCAAATTGAGCTTGCCTCATCGCCAATGATTTGTAGATCTCGATTATCATCTTCTCGTCGTACTCCTTCACCGGTTTCATTCCAAACCTCGCTACACCGTCTCCATAACCACCGCCTCCTGCAACCACCGACGAATTCGCCATTCTCATCATCATCCTCACATAACCGTCACGGATCCCGATCAGTAACTTCTTCGGAGAGCACCGAAACTTGAACTTCAGTTTCAGCTTCCGTGTTATTCTTATCCTCCAGAAACGGCTCCGCCGTTTAGGTCCAGATTCGTCGTGACTGTTCCCGCCAAGGCGCTGGTAGCGTCTCCTCCGCCAGTATCCTTTAACGCCTTTGTACACTCGAGTCGTGATACCTTCCATCTTCGAGATTTATCGAATTAATTGCTTGTGAAAAAAAAAATCCAAATCAACCGATTGGTACACGTGAGTACGCCTACGAGTCGTAAGGTGAAGAAATGTTGATTAAGAGAAAGTAAAGAGGAGTCGCCGGAGAAGGAGGGTGGGTTGGTGGAGGGTGGGGGATATAAATAGAGTTATGAGAGCTGTGCTGTCGTTCGGTGTGTGAGTGTGTGTGTGTTGAAGTAGTGGAGATGTGGTGGGTTTTATAATTTTAATTCTTGCATTTCACACTTAATTGGGCCCAGTTATCCCGTCCGTCGGATTCTGGTGTTTGACTTTCAGAAAAGGATAATTCAATAACGGGTGATCAATATCTCAATATTCATCCACTTTTTTTTTTTTTCTAATAGAATTAACTATGTGAATCTCCGTGCGTTGCGCGAGAATAAAATTATATAGTTAAAATAATAACTTTTATCAAATTATTATTTAATATTTCTACTTTAAAACAAAATGTTAGTAGTAAAGCAAACATATAGTTAACATATTAATTTTATTAAACAATATAGTTTAAATTTTTAAGTCATTGTGATATATACAATTATTTGATATTTCTACTTTAAAACAAAATGTTAGTAGTAAAGCAAACATATAGTTAACATATTAGTTTTATTAAACAATATAGTTTAAATTTTTAAGTCATTGTGATATATACAATTATTTGATATTTCTACTTTAAAACAAAATGTTAGTAGTAAAGTAAACATATAGTTAACATATTAGTTTTATTAAACAATATAGTTTAAATTTTTAAGTCATTGTGATATATATAATTATTTGATGATTTTATAAACCGTTTAAAATTATGTAAATTATATATCAAATGAATTATAATGTAGCGGGTAACAAAACGTATGAACAAAAATATGAACTGCAACTTTTGGTAACATAAAATAGAAAAACATCTATTATAACATTTGTATTAAAAAAGATATATATACAACGAATAATAAAAAATATGAAAAATAAACACTATAACTTTTAATAACATAAAAACACTAAAGCATCTATTATAACATTTATATTAACTCTTCATATTTAAATCACAAATCTCTTCAAATACATTAATGTTTTTAATGAGCAAAACTTTACAACCTTATAAAAGAAAGGAAAATAAAAAGTTATTAGTGACTATTAATTCATAATCATAAGTTAAAAACTCTTGAGTTGCAACTAATAAATATACATAAATTAAAAAACTTTTGAGTTGTAGTGTGAGTTTCAAATTAATGCGGTACTTGGAAATGTATTATTATTATTATTATTATTATTATTATTATTATTATATTCGTCTAAATAATTAGTTTTGATACATCATTTTAATCCCTTCAATTATTAAACATAAAGATATTTAATTATAAATTTATAACATACATAGGTGCATATACATGTTAAACAAATCACATATAATATATATATTTTCGTAAATGTCATATGTAATTCTTGTCGTAGTAATATGGATAAATTACTTTCATATGAAGAACATATCATGATAAGTCTATCATAATTACATATTAAATGTTCAATATCTTTTAAATATTGTCTTTTAAATATGTTGTGTAGGATAACCCAACAAAAAAATAATAGAAAATAAACATAATCTAAATAGAAAAACTACAATCAAATAAATAAGAGCATTGGGTGGTTGAATATATAAATAAAGATGTTACATAAACATACATTTAAATCAAAAGAAAAACTAACATTCGTCAACTTTGCTCAAACAAAAAAACCTATATCCATTTTATTAATCTTCTTTCTTCATTTAACACCATTAAACCATAGAAATTTGATGATAATTCTTCACTAACCTGCAATCAAAATATTTTTTTGAAAAAGAAGAATCAGAAAGATATTCCAAGCAAAACATTGATGTTTGGAGAGTCACATTGTGACATCCCCAAATTTCACGGCCAGAAAAGACCGGTTTCATTTATGCTTTTAAAATAATTTCAGAGTAAATCCATTGATTTAAAAGAGTTGTGGAATTTGTTCCCAAAACAAAATATGATAAAATAAAATTTATCAAAGCATTTCTTAAAGAAATGTATTTTCATATATAACAAAACTCGGGATGTCATGTTCCGATACAGACCAAAAGCATAAACAGTACAATTTAACCTTACAGCAGTTATTTACAACTACAAGCCTATAATCCAAAATATCTTGTCAAGTCAACCAACTTATACTATTGTGCCATTACCTGTAATGCAAACAAAACTGAGTGGGTCAGGCTTGGAAGCCTGGTGAGCATGTAGGGTTTTCGACCCATAATAATATAATTATTATATTCAATCATCAATCAATCAATCCAAATTACTCATCCCCATTATCTCCTTTATTTCTTAAGGATTTACCCTAAGAATCAACTATCCTTTATTTATTTATTCATAAGGATTGACCTTAGGAATTAACACAAAGTCCACCGCTGCCAAGGTCCTCAAATTACGATCGGTAAACACTTAGTTCAACATACTTAACGAACACCTAGTTCTAACACTCCTAGTGAACACTTAATTCAAAACATCTGGTGAATACTTAGTTCTAAAACACTTAGTGAACACACTCAGTTCAACAACACCAAGTGAACACATCTAGTTCAAAAATACTTAATGAACACACTGAGTTCAAAAATACCAAGTGAACACATAGAGTTCAAAAATACCTAATGAACACGTTGAGTTCAAACACCAAGTGAACACATAGAGTTCAAAAATACCTAACGAACACATAGAGTTCAAAACACCAAGTGAACACATAAAGTTCAAAAATACCTAACGAACACATAGAGTTCAAAAACACCAAGTGAACAAATAAAGTTCAAAAATACCTAATGAACACGTTGAGTTCAAAAACACTTATTATTTCGTCTCACATCAACTATTTCATCTACCCATGTTCTACCCAACATATTTGTAGATGCAAACACATATACAGTTTAAATCTTTTAAAACCTGTATAAAACATTAATTCAACATCCATCTCAAGTAAACAAACAATGTATAAACACATAGCACGTTCTTCATAGCAAATACTTCATATCTATGTGTTAGAAGAAAGTAACTACACACTCACTTGATAAGACGATTATCGGACAACACTACGGCTCTCCAAGTAGTATTCTTCGGTGAAACCGGAGTATCTTCACAAAACCGGGCTTCACGCGGACAGAGTTTCGGCTCGAAACTCCTTTCTTCTCGGGATCTTCGGAGTGTCGGGACCCACTTTGGGTATCGGGGATGGTACCGGGGCTTCGGGGGTACTTCAAAATGACCAGAGAGGGTATAGGGAGTGAGAGAGTGAAGGAATTAGCAACCAAATTCGGCTGCCCCTTCGATTCTATTTATAGGGCTGATTTTTCGATTTTCACGTCGTGAATCATCATTTTACGTCGTGGCCTTGGACGTCACGATGTTCAGTCTGTCAGGATCCAGAAGACGTCAGCACTGAGTTAACGTCGTGAACCCCTTTTTCATGTCGTGAACTCTGACACAGTGTTGGGGTTCACGCCCCGAACTTCCTAAATTCATAACTTTCGCATACGAGCTCCGTTTTCGACGTTCTTTATATCCACGCGTAGGTGAGATGATGCTCTACAACTCTCGTTTAGACTCCGTCAGCTAATTTTGACTTTAATTTTTATTATATTATTTTTAGTGGGACGGGACAGGAAAACTCCGTTATATACTCATAATTTCTTCATCCGACGTCCGTTTTCGTCTGTCTTTTTATCGTTGAACTACTATCGATGAGATCTTCGATTCTCGTTTAGATTGTTTCGGCTAGAAATCCCTCGATCTCATATTCGAACTTCGGGCTGCATACTGCTAAGCTGAAACTTAGAAAAATCATAACTTCCTCATACGAAGTCAGATTTGGACGTTCTTTTTATGCACGCTCTCGGTTTAACGTATTCTACGACTTTCATTTAGATCGCTAAGGCCAAATATCGCTCTAACGTAAATTCCCTATTTACGTTGCGCTGTGTCGTGCCGGTTCTGTCGTGAAACTTCGACATGTCATAACTTCTTCGTTATAACTCGGATTTCGGCATTCTTTATATATCCGGAATCCTTGTCACGACCACTACAACTTAGTTAAGATTATTCATTCTAAATAATATTCTATCAAAAAGTCATTTTTGACGCTTATCGTCTCTAAATTGACTAGCCCTGATCTGCGGGCGTTACAATTATCTCCCCCTTAGGATGATTACGTCCCGGAATCATCAACGAAATAGGGCTTGCATAATGATTCCATACGTTATCTCTTCATCCTAGGTAATAATCGTAACTTTTATGTTTCCTCGAAAGAGTATCTAACTCTAGGGCTTCCTGACTGCAAACTATGCTCAATCTTGCATCTGCTCTTCGTATTATGTTGGACTTTCAATTGTAACCTTCGAGTTACAAAATAAGTCCTTATTGTGGACTCCTTCTTCTTCTTAGGATAAATACTTTCCTTTATCTATTGTAACAGACCGATGGGTCGTGCTCTAATGATCTCTCATCGTATGATGCAACGCTTAGACTCAAGTCTCTTAGAGTCAAATTCCAAAATGGAATATACATTCCTTCATATTCTAATGTGATATAATCACATTTTAGCATGTAGCATTTCTAGCTAGAAGCTTCTTTAACAAGGAGCGCGATGCTATTGATCACATTGATTTCAATCTTCTGACTTAAGTCAGATGTTACATCGAACTTGGTTCTCTGAACCACGTAAAAAACACATCGTAGTCGGACTCAATTTGATATGACCACTAGGGTCAGAATATCAATCATCTTCTTAGTCATTACCGAAACAATGGTAACAACATACTTGAATAAAAACGGAATCAATCACTAGCTTCTTTGTAACCTTGTGACTTTCCCTGATCCAAGTGTGAGTCATGTGCTTCCAGTAGTATAGATCTCTACTACTATTCACACCTACTCATACTCGTCCCAAGTATTGTC